CTGTGGCTGAAGTATTTTAAAGACTTCTTACCCACGTGGATTCTGTAGGGCCTAGCAGGTCATATATGCACAATGATACTTTTCCCTTAAGTGGGAACCCTAATAGGGTCTCCCTGTTCTGTCCAATGGTCAGTTTTCAGAAAACCTGTTTACCTGTATAAGTTTTGGTTAGAAGCAACCACTGGGGACAGTGACACTTTGTGATTGCATGAACCCCATTTCCCTACGGAAACAGGCAAAAAAGTCTATCAAGAGGATCGTTTGCAGTGTCTGCTTGCCCCTACCCCTGCAAAGGTCTTCCAAACATCTATTTACCTTGCTCCAAATTAAACGCATTATTTCTCATTCTGCACTCATGGTCATGGAGAGAACTGATTGCTCTCCTCATCATAATTTCTCTTCTTTTAAAGATAAGAAGATCTATGTTCCTTTTCAGTCTTCTCTTTATTGGGCTGAATATACTCAGCCTCTGAGTCTCCTTAAATTATTCACTTTACAAGGTCCTTATAGCTCTGTTGTTCTCTGTAATATCCTTCAAGATGGGGAGATTCAGTGTCCTATATACAGTATTCCAATAGATGCCTTCCCAGCAGCTAAAGTAATGGGGAAAAGATGGAAAAATCTAACACAAAATTCCTTTTGATCCCAGACTGAATTTGCTTTGTTCTGCCACATTACGCTGAGATTCTGTCCCAACACAGCCACTAAATCCTTCTCTGCAAACGTGCCTCTCAGCCAGTAAGTTCTTATTGCACATTTCCACAGACAGTGCATATGCACTTGGCCTTACAGAATTTCATCTTTTACAACCATAATTCACTGAGCAATTGTTATACAGGTAAACACACAAATTCACTCTAGAAGATACTTCCCTTATATCGTCAGCTGATTATAGTAAAAGCTATTTGCTTTATTAATGACTATATGAAGTAATATATAAGCCTCATAGGCTGACGGGATCTGGTTCACACTCTTCCAGTGACTGTTCCACATAAGGACAGCAGTTAACTGTTTAGGCAGATACAGACATTCACGTCCACTTGCTTACATGAATTAATTGCCGTTCTTTGGAAAACACAGGTGCAGAAAGTGATTCCATTTCATTAGCAAAGCAATCAGCCCTGTGCTCAGTTCAACAGTTCTGCCATATTACAAGAAAGTATCTTACGAGCCCAAGGCTTGGCCTTATGTCTCCCTGATCTCATTAGGACTTTAACAAAAGCAAGGGGTTAAGTTAAGTGCTAAATATATCTAACAAAGATGGACGGACTGAAAGACACACTTGAATGAATACTTGGCTATAACAGGGTACCTGTGAGGAACTGAGCCCCTCACATGATCTCAATGTTTTGTAGGACTGTAGATCCACAGTTTTCCATGTAAGCAGCAAAGCGAGCGACTCCATGTCTGGCCCACCAAAAGGCTCTACAGTCTTTCAGGGGCATGTACTTATACTAAAAAGAAAGCAAGTCTTTCATTTTAGCTGATCATTTTTCTCTGTACTTTTATAAGGAACTTTGATCAGTTCAGCCTTTGCTAAATCTAAAGTGTAAGTAATCTGGAAAAACACAGTCAAAAAGCTGCATGGGCACCACCTCTGCTTCCTGAAGTTCATGCACCACCAATTGCATTTGGGTGTGAAAGTAACCTCATTCTTACATTCTGCTTCGGGTGCATTAGTTCAGATCTTGAGTGAGCTTCCAAAGTGAATCTTCTGATCATCCCCACTTACAGGACATAAGTTCACAGTCATGCCACAGTCTCTGGGCACGTGCACTCGTCAAATTACATTAGATGTGCTCCATGCGTGCACCTGCTGTACTGCAGCTGCTAAGACATGTTCAGCCCATTGAATCATACTAGAGCTAGTCAAATCCATGTCACTGGGTGTGATGCATAGCGTGGACACCATACCCTCGGCACCAAATCACGCAGCTGAGAGAGGTACTCTTTGTGCTACAATATTCACCACAAAAAACACAGCCAGAGTCCCTTGTTGGAGACAGGAAAATGAACAGGACAGTCTTTTTATTATCCCACATTATGTTCTTATGATCTTCCAGTTCCTTACCATGCATGTCCTATGTTCTGCCAGTTCCTTACCATACATACCTTATTTAGGGTCAGAAGACCTAATGACAGAAGATCATTTTAAGTCTGTCCTATTAAAACATTTTATATGAAGGAAATGGTAAAACAGAGAAATAAATTAACAATTAACAATTAAACAAATTAACATGAGTTGGGCTGTTTTGAATTAGAAGGCAGTCACTATCCTTACTCACATGTATTGTAGGTTGACGTTTTTCACAAATGCCTGACGGGACACAAATCTTAAGCCTGAATCCACCACGGTCCTGTGAAAATACGTAAAACTGTTATAATATTTCATTTAAAATATGATGGAAACCATAATGATAATAATGGTTAAAATAAGAGTGTGGAAGAAATCTCAACAAGGCTGAACTGCAAGATCTACAACTGTCCTCTATAACACACAAAGTTAGGCCTACACTCTGATGAGGTCTCTATATGCTTCTATAAAAGAAATAAAGAAAAAATAACTTTCTAAAATATGCATCCCGTATACTCACAGATTTTTAAGTCCGACATAAAATCCAACTTCATTGTCGTTGATACTTTCTAATTTTCGCTGGTTTGCAATATAACTGTTGAAAAAGCAAGACAGAAAAAAGTATGAAAGAGCATCCGTCCATGGCTTTGACTGTTCAGAAATCAAGCACTGATGTCTGAAAGTCAGCAGTGACTGCTGACCTATTGCAATTAACACTAAGATCTACTTAGAGCATCCACAGAGCAAAAGTGCTCCTTAAGATCTTCCCCATCATTTAAATGGTACTTTGTGGGACAGGGCTGGAGGAGAAACAGTTGAGTTTTACACAGGGGAAATTAAGCCTTGTTCATCAAGGAAGCAAGTTACCCTGAAGGCACAGTAAATAAAGCTGCATTACAATGTCACCGTTTTCCAGGACACACTTCCCTACCTCACGGATTTCACAACAGCAGAAGGGCCAACTTCAGTGGTGGCAGTGGAGTTACCCCCACTTACATTGAGGGGGGATCGGACTACCCTAGTCTTTCCCCTCATGTTGTTAACTTAATCACTTGTTCAACCGATTTTCCCCATGCCACAAGTAAGTTTCAAATATATTTTCAAGGTGTGTCAATAAGAAAACTGAGGAAAGGGAGGCTGTACTTCATGGTGTTACATACACAAGTGGAAATTAAGAGAAGAGGAACTGTCATAGTAGACCAAAGCACTGAGTCCACTCCCATACCATGAGTATCTGCCTGAACACCAAAAGGATGTGGGCCTGCAAGCCGGTCCTTTGTATTATCATCATGTGAGATCTATGAATAACCAGTGACATCCCACAGCCTGGAAATTAAAATATTTCACAGATAATCCATGGGATGATATATAATCTGTTACCTCTTCTGCAGCAAGAAAAAAAGTTTCAAAGTGCAAATCATGCAGTCTAGGAAGAAGAAATCAGTGGAAACTGCAATTAAACTGGCATTATGGGCAGAAAAGTAAGCCTGATGTCAGAGATGCCTTGCCAAAGAGTCCATGCATTTCAAAAGATAACCCCAGTCCCAGAAAAACTTAAACAGAGGTTGACCTGTATTTTCATGAGCATCCAGAACTACCCAAAGCTGCAGGTTTTCCTAAAAAGAAAGAGTCTTTCTTTGCTAGAATAAAACTTGTCTTCATTTTAAGCATTTTTTTTTTCATTTAAAGGGAATTCTGGTGAATTGGAAAGGTGTATTGCTTTCCCAAAGACAACCCATCTACCTCAAATGGTGTGTCAGAGAAATTCACTGTGTGCCACATCCCAACAGAAGCTTGAGAATCCCACAAGTTGGGTCTGGCTCTCCTCCAAAGCTGCAAAGCTGACTTGGGCTATGCTCTTGCCAAGTACCAGGATAAGCAAAAAGTTCCCCCTAATGGGATTCACTGTCCCTTGGGAAAAGGAAGGGCAGTAAAAAGACAATGCATGATGCTAGACAAAACACATTACTACACCATCATATGACACTGACTGCTCTGCAGGACTTCTTAGCATAAGATTACCATGGTGTACCCATTACAAGATAATAGAGTCCTTCGCATTTTGTGTTTCCTTCCTTGGATCTTTTAAGGCAATCTGATTTACTCTCTTGGGGTTTACTAATGTATTTTTTTGTTTCTTGGTTGGTAAATGTACATATTTTGCCAAGTAAAAGCAATGAAGTAGTTTATAAAAGACTATCAATTCTTCCACCTGAGAGCCCTGCAAGTGAATAATCATACTTCCTCTGAACCGGCCCTGAAGAAGAACTCATGATCTAATTAAGTATCGCCTTCTCTGTCACCTGGACCGCTACATGCTAGAATAAAGTTATGCAAGAGGTATCGAAGATACCTTCCACATCCTGCCCTCGGTGTTCAACCAACGAGAATCCTGTCAAGACCAGATAGAGACAGGGAAAACACAGAAAACCAGGAATCAAGGAAAATGGACAGAGAAACACAGAGGGAGAAGAGACTCTGAAGAGTAAAAGAAAATAAATTGAGGAACCAGTTGTACTAGCTGAAGATTAAGCCATCAAAAAAACCTCTGACAAACACTGCCAGAACGCAGATCCATCACTTAAACGTACTTATCACCCATCCAAATCTGACATTGCAATTTTAATCATAAAAACATTTAACCAGAACCTCCCACTACGAGAAGCTCCAGAACTTGACATAACTTATAGTGTCACACAGAAATGTATTAGTGTATTACACCCTGTGGTAAGCCTCAGCCAGTGTAAAACAGCTCAGCTCTGCTGAAGGCAATGAAGCTACCACAATTTACATGAGACAAAGATCTCAGTATGAGCACACAAGCTATATAAAAAGATCAGTGTTGGTCCATTAGGGAACAAACCAAAAGGATGATATTTGGGAAGAAGCAGCAGCATGAATTTATGATCTTTTCTTTCCTTCTCTTATTGAATCCCTGAAAAGAAAGCGAGGGGGGGCATACTTTACTCTCAGCTGGTACTAGTCTCTTTATGGTGAATGATTTATGATTCCAGTCCCTAACTGAAAGAACCAAAAGAAACCACTGATTTTCCATAACGATGCTTCAAGTGGGGACCCAGAAGAAATTCTCGCTAAGTGCGACTAATTCAAAACAATAACCGCTCTGCAAGACATTTGTAAAAACACCGAGTACAGGACACGACAGTAAAGCAAATTTCACGCAGTTGGAAATCCTTGAAGAAAGGGTGGGCAGATGTAATTTACCATAAGCAGGTCACGTCCTCTTACGCTTCCTTACTTGCTTAACAAGTCTGTTTTAAGTTAAGCCTTTGCAGCTATTTCATAGCAGTGAGAAAGAAAGGAGTATGATGACTGTAGCTGTACACTGTAAGGGGAAGTTGTTCTTCTGTTTAATTTAGAGGGAGGTCTGAAATAAAACCTCTCCCTAACTGAAGTCTATTTTTACCTTCTTCACAACTGCTCCACCTTGATGCTACTTATCATCAAACATTAATACTCTAAAAGCTCTGACTTGCAGTGGGTGACGCTGAGAAATGTAATTTGCCTGCCTGCCCTTTAAGAATATCCACCCTCTTCTTTAACCGAACGTTTTTATTGTCGCACAGAAGAAAAACATCCTGACGCAGGGCTGGCTGAAGTCAGGTGAGGAGCTTGGAAGCACACCACAGCAAAGTGTAGCACCGCCAAAACCTGGCTGGATACTTCCCAGTCGGATCACATGTATCGGCTCGCGAACCAATTACTGCCTCTAAACCAAACCCTCAGCTGCCTACAATACTATTCGCTTGATTAACACTACAGCTTTCTGCCTCTCCTTCAATGAGTCATCAGTAAGCAGTATTTGTTGTCAGGCCTTTAATTTCATCTCCCCTTTGTAAACTACTGATTAATTCTAATAAAGGCATCCAGAATCACACACCTACTGGTTGCACATTGCAACCTACATTGCAACACGTTCATCTCAGCACACTTCAGCGGCTGTTGAATAACGTCACACACTCACACTTCACCACTTCTGCAACATTCTGGAAAAGGTATTTTAAAATCCTATTCTAAAAGAGTTAGCTCCTCCAAATAGGTTCTCCTTTAAGAGGGTGGTCTTCACTTCTGCTCATTACACGTGTGAAAGACTACGGATACAGTCTGCATAACGTCAGTGAGGCAACCTCTGAACTTCAAGAGCATGAAGAGAAAGAAGGTTCTGCTCTTTAAAGCGGTCTAGATTATTTTGTGCCTCAATAGCTCAAAAAAAGGATTTCACTCTATCTCTCAAATCTTTTCCTTAACCCGAAAAAAAAAAATGGTCAGCAGAATTATGCCTTCCTAACTTATTTGATTTACTCTATTTCCTCTGGATTAATTTATGTTAAGATATACTACTCCATTTGGAGCTATAAGGACATGCTGGAAAACTAGTGCACACTAGTCTTAACAACATAGATGCAAGCAAATAACACTGTAATTCAGCTCCAGAAGTATTTCTGTTGCCAGAAAATTCCCTTTACGGGAAACATATTTTCTTAACACTCCAAAATATAAATCAATTATATGATTAGCTCTGGTTCACACAGCTGGGAAAAAAGTTTTTAAAATTAATAAACATTCCCTGGTGAAATGCTTATGAACTTTGGGAAAACTTTATACTCGGAGTTATTTTTTCACGAAATCTTTAGGGGAAAAAGGCAGCACACTCCACACATTGAACTGTCAGTAGATGAATTACCATTTAATGACAGGTCATGTATGTCCCTAGTCTACGCTACTGTGAGAGCTGCATGGTTACATCGACAATTAACACTGCAAAGTTCCCTACTGCTGTATTTTCTTACAAACTCGAATGTCAGACCAAGTTCATCAAAAGGCATGCTAAAACTTAGGGACATTTTTAGCACACCTGGGCTGATTTATGGTTATGCATCAAAATCATGCAAAATTTGTAAGCTTGACACAATACTTGATGAAACTTGGCAGATTCAAATGGGTTTCATTTGCAGCCCCTCTGAAACCAAATTTAAAATAATGCTTGAGGGGTGCGAACTCACATAGTTTGAAAATGAAGCATAGAGCTACACACTGTTGCATATCA